CATGTGGACCTTCATTTTACTTCTTACAGATTTGATCTAGCTCTTCTAGTTTAGCTGTAATCACAAAAACCGCGGGGACACTTTCATTTGACTGGTTAGATACCAACGGATATCACACTATGCTTTATGTTAGGTTTAATTGTTGGTTTACACCGTTACATTAATTGTAACTAAAATTTGAATTCTTAATTAATTTATCATAGGCATTACTAACATTATATGAGCACAAAATATTAATTTTTCATGATTTATGTATACAGTATCATGTATTGATATTAAAGAATAGGGTTCTCTCTTATAGGTTATTCAAGAAACCGCAAGTGTAAAATAAATTGACCGTTTTATTGCATTATTTGAGTGACATCTTATGGTTTATTTGAGTGATCAATAATTTGAAATTAAATTACTTTTTTAATTAAAATTTTAATTAAAGTAAACAAAATGTTTTATATTACACTTTATATTGTCGTGAATATGATATTCTCACTCCTGGTAGTTTTCCAGTGAGTAGTCATCATGAATATGATGGGCTCTCTATCCAATCAGAAGCCCCTTCGAACACACCATAATCATACGATATGAGTCTAATATACTCATTACCTGTTAATCACCTTAATGTCAATTATGCCTATTTAAGACTCTCTCTTTCCATGTATTATTCGCAGTCATTCTCAAGTCCTCTTCGAAGGCATATCTCTCTACTCTCTCTATTATAATAAAGTTATTGTTAGTTATTGTGTACGAAGTGTACCTTTTATTGTCCACTAATTGTGGTTACGATAGCAGGCGATCGCGCGAATCTACATTCAGCACAATATAACTGGCATTAAAATACATAAGTTAGTGCTCTTACGTCTAATAACAGTTTTAAAGTTAATTAGTTTTTGTAATATCTATAATATACTGTATATAATAATTTAATTATTAGTCATGAAGGTTTTTATTGTCTTATTGATAATTGGTATGTAAATATATTTTTAAACAATAATATAACTAGGTATCTCTAATTAAATAATTAATAATAAATAATAATTATACATAATAGTCTATAATATATTTAACAAATATTTTCAAACCGTTACAGTCCCGGTGGTAAAAATTGTAATCAGTTAAATTTTCAGGTCCACAAATTGCGGAAATTTATATCATAGATTTATGTATAAATAGTAATTTTATGAGATTGAGAGAGAGAGAGAGAGAGAGAGAGAGAGAGATGACTATTGAGTGATATAATAATGTGTATTAATCTCTCAAATTAACTCTTAATCCAAATGACTCTTAGGTGTGATATATTGTGGACAGGAAGAGGAAGAGGCGGCCATTGATATAATNAGAGAGAGAGAGATGACTATTGAGTGATATAATAATGTGTATTAATCTCTCAAATTAACTCTTAATCCAAATGACTCTTAGGTGTGATATATTGTGGACAGGAAGAGGAAGAGGCGGCCATTGATATAATATCCACAAAGTATGAGAGATATGGCAATGGAGTCGAAGCACCGGAAAAGTTGGAAATCATTAAAGAGAAGTGCAATGAATTGGGCGATACTAAAGGCACGGGTAGACTGTGAGTAGTCATTGTATTTCATTAAATATATGTTCAAAATGTGTGATACAATATTATTTATTAGATAATTTTACAAATTAAAAAATAACATCCGTAAAATCAAATGCTTGATTACCATTTAATTTATATGTAAACTATCATAAATGAATATACTCGATTTGGAATATTTTGAACAGGATCATAGTGTCTCTGGCTGACATTATTCAAAATGTTAAATCTACATGCTATATTTTATTTATTCTTATCCCGATTTTAACTTGCCAGTAATTTTTATTATAATTTAAAACATTCCAACCAAAATGCCAAGGACATAATTACTGATCCTCAATGTCTCAAAAAATACTTTCTTTCTTAATGTTGGTCCCTGTATCAGTTTACATTGTTTTATTCACAGTTTTATACAGTGACCAACATTAAGAAAGAAAGTATTTTTTGAGACATTGAGGATGAGTAGACATAATCAACAATATAGTACTAATGAGATCTGAATAGAATTGTATAATAAATAATTGTATCACATTTAATTCTATCAATGCCTGCCCCAAAATGTTTAATGTTAAGGTACAGTTGTTTACATGTACAGTATATTACATGTAATATTAAATGTATGTTTGGTTAATCAGAGTGAGAATAGGTTAAAATTATAAATGTAACGATTAGGGGGTGGTAGACGTCGACGGGTGCTGTTAACAAGTATTTCCATAATAAATAATATTACATGTTTGATCAATTGTAATTTAATTATACATTGCAGTTTCTGTGATGTAGTAACCGGCTTGAAATGGGCAGGTTACCTCAAACCAAAAATCCGGGAAGTGATGCTGGAGAGTCCTACTATTCAATTCTATGAGAAGGTTAACTTGTTCTGCAAACTGCCCGATGACAAAATGTTGAAATACACTCCAATTATAAACGCTAAACTGGTCGAGACTAAAAAATTACGTGATCGTTTCCTTGGATACCTAAACGATGCTACAAAACAGTCAAGAATTAACATGGGCGAAATTGTATGGTATGGATTTGTTTGCTATTTTTATATATAAATTAATATATAAATAAGATATGAATTTTAATCAAAACAAACTATTCTAAGTAGGAGTCCATTTAAACGCGTCTCAATTAATCCCGACGGGAGTGATATGGTTATGACCAGAACAATGCAATTCAAAACATGCGAATGGCCATAAACACCGGAGTTATGGACATATCTGTAACCGCAAGCATAGGGCTCAATGCATTACAATTTTGATGAATGATATTACTCATGTTAAAAGCAAGTTTTCAATGCATTGAACCCTATGCCTGCGGTTACAGATATGTCCATAACTCCGGTGTTAATGGCCATTCGCATGTTTTGAATCAAGTTTTGAAGTCTTCTCATTGTTCTGGTCATAACCATATCACTCCCGTCGGGATTAATTGAGACGCGTTTAAATGGACTCCTACTTAGAATAGTTTGTTTTGATTAAAATTCATATCTTATTTATATATTAATTTATATATAAAAATAGCAAACAAATCCATACCATACAATTTCGCCCATGTTAATTCTTGACTGTTTTGTAGCATCGTTTAGGTATCCAAGGAAACGATCACGTAATTTTTTAGTCTCGACCAGTTTAGCGTTTATAATTGGAGTGTATTTCAACATTTTGTCATCGGGCAGTTTGCAGAACAAGTTAACCTTCTCATAGAATTGAATAGTAGGACTCTCCAGCATCACTTCCCGGATTTTTGGTTTGAGGTACCCTGCCCATTTCAAGCCGGTTACTACATCCCAGAAACTGCAATGTATAATTAAATTACAATTGATCAAACATGTAATATTATTTATTATGTAAATACTTGTTAACAGCACCCGTCGACGTCTACCACCCCCTAATCGTTACATTTATAATTTTAACCTATTCTCACTCTGATTAACCAAACATACATTTAATATTACATGTAATATACTGTACATGTAAACAACTGTACCTTAACATTAAACATTTTGGGGCAGGCATTGATAGAATTAAATGTGATACAATTATTTATTATACAATTCTATTCAGATCTCATTAGTACTATATTGTTGATTATGTCTACTCATCCTCAATGTCTCAAAAAATACTTTCTTTCTTAATGTTGGTCACTGTATAAAACTGTGAATAAAACAATGTAAACTGATACAGGGACCAACATTAAGAAAGAAAGTATTTTTTGAGACATTGAGGATCAGTAATTATGTCCTTGGCATTTTGGTTGGAATGTTTTAAATTATAATAAAAATTACTGGCAAGTTAAAATCGGGATAAGAATAAATAAAATATAGCATGTAGATTTAACATTTTGAATAATGTCAGCCAGAGACACTATGATCCTGTTCAAAATATTCCAAATCGAGTATATTCATTTATGATAGTTTACATATAAATTAAATGGTAATCAAGCATTTGATTTTACGGATGTTATTTTTTAATTTGTAAAATTATCTAATAAATAATATTGTATCACACATTTTGAACATATATTTAATGAAATACAATGACTACTCACAGTCTACCCGTGCCTTTAGTATCGCCCAATTCATTGCACTTCTCTTTAATGATTTCCAACTTTTCCGGTGCTTCGACTCCATTGCCATATCTCTCATACTTTGTGGCTATGATATCAATGGCCGCCTCTTCCTCTTCCTGTCCACAATATATCACACCTAAGAGTCATATCATTATATTTAATACATATTATTATATTAACCAATAGTACTTTTCGCCCCAAAGTGTGTAATGTTAAGGTATATATTGTTTGGTTAGTTAAAGTGAGAATATGTAAATGCATAAATTAACGATTAGGGGGCGGTTGACGTCGACAGGTGGAATAATAAAGTATTACACAATAAATAATATTATGATAAATTGTAATTTCATCATATATTGTAGTTTCTGGGATATAATAACCGGCTTGAAATGGGCAGGTTACCTGAAACCAAAAGTCCGGGAAGTGATGCTGGAGAGTCCCACCATTCAATTCTATGAGAAAGTTAACCTGTTCTGCAAACTGCCCGAGGACAAAATGCTGAAATACACTCCGATTATAAACGCTAAACTGGCCGATACTAAAAAACTACGTGACCGTTACCTTGGATACCTAAACGATGCTCTGAACCAGACAAGAATTAACATGGGCGAAATAGTATGGTATGGAGTTGTTATTTATTTTTATATACTATATAAAATAATATATAGATAATATAATATGAATTTTAATTAATATCTGTATTATAGACAAGAATTCAAGTTTACTATTTAATAGTCGATTAATTTCCACTCTGTACTTTTACTTGTTTATCTGGTTATTAATAATATTATATCATAATATGATATGATTATTATACAGTACACCCTGTGTCATTCATTTCTGAACCATTTTAACATTAGTTCAATGGACATTTATAGTCAAAAATGATCAAATTTTTCAAAATTGTTATATAAATAGATACAATTTTAATAAAACTAATATTTTATTATTAAAACATAAAGTATAGTTTATGCTTGTTATGCAACACCAGAGTTTATTAAATTGGCATTACAGAATTTGTTAACAAAATGATTTGACGCTAGCTATTTATGTTTGTCAAAATTCATAGTTAACATCTAAGTGAAAATCAATTGTGCTAAAATGTACTTTAATTAATGGACTTTTAATATAGTATGTGATTCTTTTTCAGATCTTATTATATTTCTTATAAATTAAAATTATAACTATCATGAAGGAAGTGTTCAGAAATGAATGACACACGGTTTATATGTCGTGTCCAGCTGATCTTTAACTATTAATTACTATATAGTTACTTTATTTACTTTTTTACTAATATTTTATTTTGTGTTAATTGTTTATATCTCTCCCCTATTGTAACAGTATGTTTAACTAAACATTAATAAATGTTTATATTTGTATTAATTTTTCTGATAAAATGCTCAAATTATGCCCATCTAAACACTATGAATCATAGTCAATGATAATAAGGGTGATTGTAAAAATATATGTTATAATTCCATATTATCTGTAATAAATAAAAAAAATTTATAATATTTTGTTTACATTAATAAAACAATTACAGCGTTGGCCGTGACTTCTGGGCTAAAGTAATAGATATGCACGATGACCTAGATGGGTTCAGGGAGTTTTCCCACAGACGTGTCGACCTCTATCCCGCAGTACTGAACCGAACTGAACACGTGTTGGGCGTAAAGGTGGACACAAAGTGCGAGATGAAAGAGTCTTATCCGGAAGCAACATATAAGTCGTTTACAGTGTTGATTGCTAAATTACTTACAAAGTATTTGGAGTCAGCGCTTTAATAAGATTTCATATAAATTACTAATTATTTTGTAATATTAATAGTTTATACGCTAATAAACGTGCGATTTTTTGTAAGTTGTAATCTAACATTTATTTTATTTAATTGTAATTTTTGAATTTTGATTTTTTGCATTGATTTTAGTATTTACTGTTATTAGTTAAACTTACTCGTTATTATTATTGCCAACGGATATGATACTATTTTTAGTGGTAGGCATAATTTTTGTGTTAACCTGTTAAAACATTAATTGCAATCTTAAAATAAGTATGACAAACAATATATG